TCCTCTTTGTTAAACTATGAGAACTGGCTTCCATCACTTTAAATGTCACTTTTATTTTGATGTTCGCTGAAGTCTCTTCAGCTAACAGAACTGTCATGTTTACATTTAAACACACCCCTGGAAAAAATACGAACCGAGTCGCTACTAGCTTACCTTGTTATATATATATATATATATATATATATATATATACATGTATATATATATATATATATACATGTATATATATATATATATATATATATATATATATATATATATATATATATATATATATATATATATATATATATATATATATATAATATCAATTTATTCATAACTATTATTTGATATTACAGACATATTTTCGCTATTTGTAAAAAAACAGACAGTTCGTCCTCAAAATCATTCGAACGTTAAGCAATTCGCACCAATATTTAAATGGACATATTCTAGGCACATATTGTCTTGAATTTATTTTAAGTTTACCAATCATTTCACTTTCACTTATTATCCAATCTATTTTGCTTCGACCAGACGTTTCAATCTTTGTCGCAACAGACAAACATTTCAGAATTTCAGACACATACCAAGAACATGGAGAAAAAATAATAAGTGCTTCGGAAAAGAGAACGATTTTCAATTCTGATTTTGTACATCACCTGTATCTGTTTACATCATTTGGCGGCGTCTTTGATGTGCAGCATCAACATTTAACTTGTTAACATATTAAAATAGATCCTTTAAAATTACCTCAGCATATAAGTAGAATATAAATCCACAAAATAATTCTATGCGTCATTTTTCATTTAGTCCTGTTGGGGTTTATTTACGTTAGATTCCGTCATACTTTCAAAAGACAAAAGAAGCCAATGAGACGTGTAACTTCATACAAATGATTATTTAATACGTTAATTAAAACAAAAAGAAACGTTTAAAGCTGGGTATATCAAGGTACGAAATTTAAGGTGTAACAACATATCAAGCTTGAAGCGTGTTATTGTTTAAAAAATAATCGTTAAAGGCTTAAAGGAGGGGGCGAAAGCTAAACAATACAATTACTATATAGTTTAGAAATATCTAAACAAAAATGTATACTGTTTTTAATTTACTATTTTCTTTAAATATTTTTGTATATAAGTCGAATGATAAAACAGACATGAAAATTTGTCTGTGTTTTTTCTTTGTTTTTGGTTGTTTTATTTTTAAAAAAAATAAGATTCGTTTCTTCCCCTCCAACTGTAACAGAAAATCTCTTTATAATCGTACTTTTTAATTAATATTTTGCGTTAAATAAAATGTATTCACGGTAAACATTACACATATGGTACCACAACACAGTCTGTCAACACAGGGTGAGACCGAAAGTGTCATCTCGGGAAATGAGTTAGACTATCATGTCGTCTGCACAAATTTCGATGTCTATTAACATATATAAAAACCAACAACAACAAACAAACAAAATCAAAAACAAACAAAAACAAACAAACAAAAACAATTATTATTGATTGATATTCAACTCAAAGAGAACAAAATTACTTGTTACATCAATACTCTGAACATTTAATTAATGATGATTGTTAAAAATGCAAGTCAAGCACTGCATATCAAACTGATAAACTAACAAAATCATTTGGTTAGTGAAACTCGCTTGAAACGGGTACTGTACCTGTATGTAAATGAGAAAAATACTGATAAGCCTAAAATACATTTTATTAAATAAGGTTTTAGTATTAAGAGACACATATCACATTTTTTGAAATTCAGACAAACATGTATAAATAAAATCCGAAAAAAACTTCTTTTGTAACTAAAAAATATATATAATTTGTAATCCGTTGGTCCCAAATTTTACTTAATCATTTTAAGTACATCATAATCATATTTCCATTACATTCTCATGGGGTGCGTTGCGAACTTATTACTCTGTGAAAAAGGTAATAAAAGTTACAAATTGATGATATTGTGTTACTTGTAGAATGGTACGTGCTCTTACTGTAACTGAATGACGGACATGTATGTTATGTAGCATATGTTGGAACGTCTGGGTCTGAAACAATCAAATAGCGCATAAATGCGCGTTCGTTTGTGTCGTTTAATATTTCATATAATTTTACGCTCACCTGAGCTTGCTCAGGGTGAGCTTTTAGGGTCGGTGAATGTCCGTCGTCCGTCGTACGTCCACAATTGCTTGTGAACACTCTAGCGGTCGCATTTTTGCCTCAATCATCATCAAACTTGGTCAGGATGCTTATCTAGTTGAAAGCTCGGATGAGTTCAAACATGGCTCATCTCGGATGAAAAACTAGGTCACAAGAGCTAAAAATAGAAAAACCTTGTGAACACACTAGAGGTCACAATTTTGACCCAATCATCATCAAACTTGGTCAGGATGTTTGTCTAGGTGATAACTCGGATGAGTTCGAACATGGGTCATCTCGGATGAAAAAGTAGGTCACAGGAGCTATAAATAGAAAAACCTTGTGAACACTCTAGTGGTTACATTTTTGAACCAATCATCATCAAACTTGGTCAGAATGCTTGTCTAGTCAATTGCTTGGATGAGTTCGAACATGGCTCATCTCGGATGAAAAACTAGGTCACATGAGCTAAAAATAGAAATACATTGTGAACACTCTAGTGGTCACATTTTTGACCCAATCATCGTCAAACTTTGTCAGGATGCTTGTTTAGATAATAGCTCCGATGAGATCGAATATGGGTCATCTCGGATGAAAAACTAGGTCACAGGAGCTTTAAATAGAAAAACCTTGTTAACACTCTAGCGGTCACATTTTTGCATCAATAATCATCAAACTTGGTCAGATTGCTTATCTAGTTGATAGCTTGAATGAGTTTGAACATGGGTCATCTCGGATGAAAAAGTAGGTCACCGGAGCTAAAAATAAAAAAAACCTTGTTAACACTCTAGCGGTCACATCTTTGCATCAATCATCATCAAACTTGGTCAGGATGCTTGTCTAGGTGATAGCGCGGATGAGTTTGAACATGGGTCATCTCGGATGAAAAAGTAGGTCACCGGAGCTAAAAATAGAAAAACCTTGTTAACACACTAGCGGTCACATTTTTGCATCAGTCATCATCAAATTTGGTCAAGATGTTTGTCTAGGTGATAGCTCGGATGAGTTTGAACATGGGTCATCTCGGATGAAAAAGTAGGTCACCGGAGCTAAAAATAGAAAAAACCTTGTTAACACTCTAGCGGTCACATTTTTGCATTAATCATCATCAAACTTGATCAAGATGCTTGTCTAGGTGATAGCTCGGATGAGTTCGAACATGGGTCATCTCGGATGAAAAAGTAGGTCACCGGAGCTAAAAATAGAAAAACCTTGTTAACACTCTAGTGGTCACAATTTTGACTCAATTGTCAGCAAACTTGGTCAGGAAACTTGTCTAGGTCATTGCTGGGAACAAATCGAACATGGGACATCTCGGATGAAAAACTAGGTCACAGGAGCTAAAAATAGAAAAATCTTGTTAACACTCTAGTGGCTACTGTTGTGATCCAAATATTCTGTTAATTGGTCTGAAAGTTTGTTTTGATGATTTCTAAGTCAATATCGAACATGGGTCATCTTGGATAAAAAACTAGGTCACACCGCCCAAATATGGAAAAACCTTGTTAACATTCTAGTGGTCACATTTTCGACTCAATTATCATCAAACTTGGTCAGGATGCTTGTCTAGGTAATTGCTTGGATGAGTTCGAAATCGCATGTGAAACTAGGTCACCGGAGCTAAAAATAGAAAAATCTTGTTAACACTCTAGTTGCTACTGTTTTGATCCAAGTATCCTGGAAATTGGTCTGAAAGTTTGTTTTGATGATTTCTAGGTCAAGTTTGAATATGTGTCACCTGGGTAAAAAACTAGGTCGCACTGCTCAAATATGGATAATCCTTGTTAACACTGTAGTGGTCACATTTTTGACTCACCTGTCATGAGACTTGGTCAGAATGCTTGTCTAGGTAATTGTTTGGATGAGTTTGATAAGTCAGGTGAGCGATCTAGGGCCATCATGGCCCTCTTGTTTATATAACTCCAAAAATTTAACATTTCTTTTAAAGTTGAAAGTTTGTTGTTTGTTTTATTGGGTTTTACGTTACACCGAAACAGTATAGGTCACATTGCGACGTTCCAGCTTTACTGGTGGAGGAAGACTTCATGTGCCCTTCCGTGCGCATTATTTCAGGCACGAAAGGGTATCTAAATAGAACCACCGACGTTCCGTAAGCTGGCTGGATAGCGACCTCACATGAAAGAATTCAAAGTCCCTATCAGGATTCGAACCCACAGTGGTGAGGGGCAAGCGGTTTAAAGTCAACGACCTTAACCACTCGGCCACGGACGCCCCTTTAACAAAGTTAGAGTGATAACAGTAAGAAAAATCGGCTAAGGATACCAGTGTATATTGCTATCTAATTTTGTTCTGTAAATGGACCATATGTCTTGTCTATAATGTTTAAAATTTGTCTCGTGTTTCTGTCGTTTCCATTTCTCAAATGCTAAATGATTTTCATACTGCTTTCTCTCTTTCTCGAAGAACTTTCTTCTCAATGCCTGTTTTCTTTGCCTCTGAATTTTGAGTTTTAACTCATTATTTTCGCGCTTTTGTTTATCTGTTAATGCATACGGAGATACATAATTGAAATTCCATTGAATCGAATTCTTTGTCACTTTGTATTTTAAAGATGATTTTCTTTTCAATGCATTTCTCTTCTTATCGTCTAGTAATGTGCCTTCAGAACTACTTGTTATCTTTGTTTCTAACTGTGCGTCAATTTCTATCTTACTTTGAGATTTGAGATTCAAGTCACTGTCGTCTCGGGTAAATTCAAAATCTCTAGGAGCGATGTCATTTTCTTTACATCTTATACACGTTAAATGGAGACTATCGTCACTTTTTGATTTCAATTCTCGTTCCCTTTTGTATGTCATAGCCGGGTCGTACTCAATGACAATATTTTTTGTAGAATTCAAATACGGTACATCAAAATACTTTCATTTTCAAACACACGCATAATGGATACTTCACTTTTTATACCCTGACATGGGTCGTTTTCCAATCTGGTGTTTTCGATAAAATCCTCTCCAGATGGACATGGCTCTTCTTTTATCTCAGAAGATCCTGGCTCTTCAGATTCTGACTATACTCTTTCTATTTCTATTGAACATTTTTCTTGTGTCTTGTTAACTTTATCTTTGTCTACTTTTTCTTCGTCACTTTCTACTTTTTCTTCGTTACCATCTCTTGACACTGTATCTTTTTGAAAAAGTGTAACTTTAGATTGATCTGTTATGCTCGTATAAGACAATCCAGCAGTGTCGTCTTCTTCTTGAATGTCTGGTAATCTTTCAATTGGTGTGTCTGTCAATATACATAATTTATTAATATTTGAATGTTTAAATTAATGTTTTAACAAATATATATATTAGTGCTCGGCGTTTGCAAGATTTGCGAAAGAATGCGTTATTTAATTACTGAGTATAATATTGCAATGAAAATATTTAATGCATATTTTTACCAGTAGTTGTTGTTTCCCGTTGATGAACAGTTCTAGTTGTGCTTGATTTTGTTTCTCTGCTTCTTCTACTTCTTCGTCTTTGATGTATTTTACTTTGCCAATTCTTCTTCAAACATATGACAATTATGATGACAATTACCATTATTATCACTAAAGGAATTAGAACTATTCCTATTATTACCCCTACTGACTTTGCGTCATAGCCGTCTGCTGTCTGCACTAAATAAAAATCATATTTTATGTCCCGCTAATGAATAATACAAATATTGATATCTTTTTAAAAGATGCACAATGTATCAAAAATCATCCATAGATCATTGGTTTGAACCTTATATGAGTCACAATCATGCTTCTTCATTTAATAGTTCCAGAATATCTGATCGAATAACTGTAATCGAGATAATATAGATAATATAGATACAAATTGTTATCATGTTTGCTTTATACATGTTTTAGTGATACATTCCGTTCAGATAAGAGAATGTATTTACGAATGTACGACCGGAAACAAAATAGATTATAAAATTGATTTTATTGGTATTAACCGGCATTTTGTAATATCTTTTTAATAACCAAAAGACGTTCTTCTTTTGCGTACTTACGTGCACGAAAAGTAACTCCAAACCTTACAGCAAGAAAAATCGATTACGACAGTAATGTCAGGAAAATAGCCTTAGTTTTAATTCCAATATACTTCAACCCTTTCTGAAGAATAATTTTAATGACAACCAGCATTTTATGTACTGGCGCAAAACAGTGACATCTTTAAAAATAAAATAGATAACGAAATAGAAACGCAAAGCATGGACCAGTTTAGAAAAAATATTAAAAGCACTTTCCAATGCGATTAGGAAATGCATCGTCTAGAAAGTAGGTTATCATTGAAATAATAAGTATTTACGTTAATGTTAAAGATAGTTATATACTTGAAATTTTGTAAATTTTATACTTATGGATGCAAGATTTATTAAATACATATTATTTATCTATACAAATTTTGAAAGATACTTTCTTTAAAATTACCTAGACTTATCCGTAACATATACATGATTATCCAAAAATAAACTTTTTGTGTCATGCTTCTAACTGCTCTAAATGGTTTTATCAACAATTCATTAAATCCAATGTATTAACAAACGAACTTCCGTGTCACCAAATAGTATATTTACTTTTATAAGACAAAAGAATTCAATGAGGTGTGCAATCTTATATAAGTCGTTAACTAGATTTAATGTTTGCCCGCTAAATTTCTAAAATAGGCTTGTTAATCAATTAATCTAGGAAGATTTCCTTGGTATGTGTATATAGAAATCAAGATTGTTAAAATATTTTTTCAAAAGTTAAAAAACAATCATGATTCATTGATGAATATTGATTAAGAAATTTGTTGATGTTAATGATGTGTTTGCAAATAAACGGTCTTTTGAGGTGTAAGAATGATAAGATGATCTTGGTTTTCGTATTTGTGGAACTATTCTGATATTTCAAATGTAAATCAAAAGATCAATACATTCAAGTGGGGTTTAATGGCAAAATAAAATACATATTGCTTCTCCAAACACGAATTGTCCATGGATAAATTTATGCCTTAACTGTATTTAATTAACAATGTAATTTATTGAAATGCATTATGTAGGTTAATACACTCTGTCCCTGACTTGTTGATATAAGAAGTCAAACATCGTAATATTGATAAACACGATTTAACAGTGCACTAAATGTAGCATTACTTTGGTTGAAAACGAATACCATTTAGTGACGATGTGTCAATTTTTTAGATCAATAAGAATAAAAAATATACCAAAATATTATAACTCTTAGTCAACTATACAGACATTTAAAGCATAAACTGAAATGTGAACATTAATTTACACTTAACAAACTTGTTAAGTAAACACATCTTGCTACTTGCAAGCGCGGAAATGTAGGATTAAACGATGAAGATAGTATCGATAATAACAAGAATTACTATGACTAAATAGAGAAAACAAGAATACCCAAAGAAACACAAAACGGCAAAATTGAAAATGTTGCAGGTTCGTTTTGATTGAGCCTGTTCATGGACGATACCGTCAAGTGCGAACTACCGTCCACGTCCCCTAGCACCAGCTTAAGCAGAATTCAACATTTAAACATGAAATTTTGAATTTATAAACATCTGCAGATGTGTACATACGATGGTTATCATGGAACCTTGAATGTGACACAGTAGTGCCATTCCATGAAAAGCGGCGTATGGTCCCCAAGTAATAGAACGCGTGTGCCCTAAACGAGAAAACAATGGGCGGAACTAAAGTACACACTAGCAATTATAAATTTGTAACATGTGGTGATTCGCGTAAATAACAATGAAAAGAATCATGTTGATACTCTTCATCCTATTAGTAAGTGATTGCACAGTAATCGTCATATTGGATTATAAATGCAAATGCTAAATTGGATCATAAAATGCAATCCATATAATTTATTAATATTTTGCAATTCATTCATATACAAAAAAGAAAATTTCGTGGAAAATTATGAAAACATCTGTGTAATCATGTAATTTGAGTTATTTTTATAATAAAAAGCTAACCCAACACAACTTTTATTATTTTTATGATGATATATCGGAAAGTGTTTTCACGAAATTAAAATATAATTTAACGTGACGTCATAATCATAACAAAGAAAGCGTTCAAAGAAATACGTACATATAGATATGAAAATGTGTTTTTTGTTTTGTTACGGTCACTGTTTTAAGATTGTAATAATCAGCAGAATATTATATCTATTTCTATAGGCTGCTTCAATCTATTTGGATGGCAAAAACTTCGATTTATCATTTTTGTATTTATACCTTAAAAAACAGAATTTTGAATTATCATATATTCCATTATAATAGTTAGCCTATTCTATCACTTTTTCAGTTTGTACCTAATCTAAGGGGGATACCGGGGTAGTGACATTCAGAAACAGGGGAGACTATTATGGCGTCTGCCATACTTTACGGTTTTTTCGTTGATGTATCCCAAACTATTAAAAGTGGGTTGAATAACACATTGGGTTATTACTGTTGATATCTAAGAATCTGCGTTTTCTGTTATATCAGTTATACTGGATACCTCTGCTGTTATTCCTCGATGTATCGTTAGGGAGCGATGGTAATTTATTAATTGTTTTCTCTGTTATTAAGAGGGGAACTACAAGAATTCTTTTTGTTCATCAGCCATTCATTCTTGACATGCTGCATCCTTGAAGAATATCGTAAAGCATAATTCACATTTTCATCCATGGTATCCATATCATCGAATAACTGGAACTGTCATTGTAATTCTTACTTTGGTAATGCTGGACAAGCTACATGCTTTTGATTCTGTTTTTAATGACGGAGTCTATCTTGCTTGGGTTGGCGTTTCGTTTGTTGCATAGAATCAAACGTTCTGTCCTCCTGCGTGGGTGGTACATTTACGGAAGGCTTGCTTTGAAAAGTTTAACATTTTTTTGTTCATCGATTTGTTCCTTAGGAACAGAACTTCTTTTTTGTTGTTTATCTATGTTCCCTAGAAAGCATGCCTTCGCATTCTTGATCCATGTTTTCTACGATCATTGTTTTCTTCGGTGCTCCGGTACGTCCATAGCTAACCCCCATATCCTGACATCCAGTGTGACATATCTTCTACTGTTAAAATCGCTGTTAACAAAGATGCATAAGTCATTTTATAAAAACATTTCGTTTTTTATTTGATTTATAGTTTTATTGTATATTGACTGAACTGCATTAAACTAAAGGAAATACAATATACTGAAGATAGGAGAAAGAATACCAATTTTCTTTAATTTTCAAAAGTAAATATATTTCAAAAATATTCTGAATGTTCATACTTTGTAGAGAGATTTTATGTAAGTGTTTTTTTTAAATATCAATATTCTACTCATATGATCGTTCGGCAAAGATATTGTACGCAGAGAACTTTTACCATTGACAAGGTAAAACTGGTAAAGCAGCTCATGACTTTACAGTGTCGATGAAAATTTTAATCCAACTCAGAAATGAAATAACAAAAGCCTGAAAAAGAAATTTTAGAGAAGAAAAAATATCATACGTGTTTTTGGTCGAGGAGGACGCTTTTTGCAGCAAAACATCTTGACTAAGATGATGATCAGAATCAGTAGCAATATTACGGCAACGCAGCCTATGGCAATGGCTAGGTAAAGTGTGAATTTACTATCAGTAGATGGAGTTTGAGTAGTAGCAGCTCGAGTAGTGGTAGATGTGGTGGTGGTTGTAGGTGTCGTCGTTGTTGTCGTTGACGATGTTGTTGTTGAAGTCGAAGTTGTTGTGGGGGTGGTAGTGGTGGTTGTTGGTGTTGTTGAAGTCGTTGTAGGGGTGGTAGTGGTTGGTTGTTGGTGTTGTTGAAGTCGTTGTAGGCGTGGTAGTGGTGGTTGTTGATGTAGTCGAAGTCGTTGTAGGGGTGGTAGTGGTGGTGGTTGTTGTTGGAGTAGTAGAAGTAGTAGATGTGGACGTTGTTGTGGAGGTAGTGGATGTTGTAGATGTAGTCGATGTTGTAGACGTAGTGGTTGACGTAGTTGTAGAAGTTGTTGATGTTGTAGAGGTTGTAGTTTCTTCTGAAAAGGCATTTACAAATTAAAAAAATATGACAAAAGAGTATCCATATCTATTAGGGCAAAATTGAAACATTACGCTAGATTGATGAAAACTTTTTCCTGGAAGACATATATAATTAGATATTCGCTTTGTTCTTTATACTTTACATTAATGATAGATTATCAGATACTTTAAACAAAATGTAAGGATATGCGTTTTATACAAAACATAAATAATATTATTTTATCTTATTAATAAATGTATCAAATGATTTTTATGTAATAATAAAGATGGAGAAAACTATTACTTTACATACCACACAGCTCTGAAGAAAAGAGAAATTAAAAGAAATCAGTGGCATGATTGATTCTTTTTTACTGACAAATATTGTGCGTATATCAGGATATTAATGTACAAGTACTATCCAATATTTGAGCAGCGATTATGTAAGACTTAACAAAATCACCTTGGCACGTAGTGTATGATATAAGTAAACATGATATTACATACAAGAGTTGTTGGTAAAACAGCGTGATAAAAAAATCTCAGTGATTGATAGTAAACAACCGCCTTGATAATTAAGAATTTTTTTAGGTTAAAAAGGACCAAAATTCTGTCAAAATAAATATTACAGTTTGGGGCCTTAGACAGTGAGTTCCGATCAGACTCGAAAATATGGGCGGAAAAATTCAAAGTATTCCCTTAAACATGTAAATATTGTTATTTGACACTCATACAGTTATTAATTTTTGAATTTTACTGAAATGAAATATGTCAAAGCGATATTAGGGAGATACAAACTTGCAAATGTTGACTCCAATGTAGAAGTTATTATAAAAGCTATCCTAATTCTTTGAATAGCCAGTTAAAATTACACTGGCAATGATATGAGTATTGTGTGATTAATAATAATATTTATTTCTTTAATAACAGTTTTTGTTCTAGAACAATTTATTACCTGCAATATACAGATATGTATCATCGGATCATGCATGGTATTCTTACAAATAACATGCATATGTAATATTTCCGTGGATTGGTTTCACGAAAAAATATTAAAAACTATCAACATAACCACGCATTACTACTTTTTTCATCTATTGGCCACTTATCTATTTTTTTATGAAAGCAAGAGCTCTCCGAAGAGCAATGCACCCTATTTTTCTCAATATTTGATAGTATGGTGAAAGCAAAGTAGAAATGTGAGCATATTCTGATAAAATGTTTGGCAGGGATAAGAAAATATAAAGCAAGAAACAAGATTAATTGACAATAATGCCCTTGAGGATAATTTGGGTGTTCTTGTCAACATTTATAGCGAACAAGCATTCAAAGTTTTAAATAAAGAATCTTTCAAATTGAAAGTTTTAGAAAAATTACGATGATTGTGAACAGGTTAACCAAAAATATAGTGAATAGCTTTGCTAGTTTTCGAGAAAAATGACCTTAACCGAATACCTATTAAAAGTCTCAATGACACTGGCCATAAATCTAATGAGCACAAAATTGGTGTAACAGATCTCATCAAGGTGTTTCCACAAACCAGGTTTGAATGTTATAAATTACCTTAATTTTCAGTTAATGAAACGAAAAAGATTAAATTCCGACCAACGAGTGGCCCATTTTTTCTTTTCGGAAGGTTGAGCTAAAATGAAATCTTATATTTAAAAAAAAAGATTTACCTTTGTCATTCAATACCATTCTTAGTCCAGATGTTGGTACATCATAAGGCGTCTGTGATTTAGCACAACTTCCAGGACTTTGTGAGACGTACAGAGTTCCATTTTGTGCCAAATGTGAAACCTTTGTTTAAATTAAAAACAATCTTATGTAATATATTACATGCATGTATAAATGACTTAACATGTTCGCCAATGTTGGCAAGATCGTGCTGAAATGTTTAATTTATACTGTACAGATAAATGGCATGATTATTCATTTATTAAATTTTATAACTGAAATGTAACACAGGATATATTAAGAAACTGTGTTAAAAGGATTTTGCAGTGCCACATATTGTTAAGCCCTGTTAACAGCGTATATTGTTCAAGATTTAGCGAATATACCACTACATTAAGTGCAACTTACATCAAATATATTTTACCAAGGCTGTGTTATTATCGCTGTCATTAATATTTTGCAAGATTGTCTTTTAACTTTTTCCCTCATATATATATGTATTGACGGCTTTTCGTCCCCCCTTTTTGAGGCCTCAAACAATACAAAAATGCCCTATTTAGGCCCCAAATACTATTTTTCGTTTAAGAATTGTTTGTTAAAAAGTGACCATTTTTTCGGCACGGTCCTCCATGAAAATGATACATCAGAGGGTTGCCAAAAGGGGGATGCGCCCCCTTCTGTTTGGGGTGTTTGAAGGGGGGGGGGGCGGTAGTCCCTGCCAATAAAATTTTGGACATGTGACAGGCTAAAAATGACCTCGATCTTAAGGTGAAGTGTAACCAACGCTGAAAAGCCTTTTACTCTATCTCATTGCATTGAGAAGTTGCTGCACTTAGAAACCAGTTTTGATGAAAAGAAACAATGCAAAATAGTAATTTCTCGCAAATTTGAGACGTCCCCCGTTGCCATGGTAACAGGAAATTTATGTAGAGCATTTTGTTACAGAGGTTATGGTTCAGGCAACATATGTGCCAAGTTTCATCCGTATTGAATCATTTATCATAGTTTTATAGCAGTTAGATCTTGTAACAGGAGGCTTTTCAATGAAAAAGGCCACTTTTTACAATATGCTCATTTGGTAAAAGGTTAATTACAGGAATCATCAACATTTTGGCCATGTGTATTTAATAATTGTTTAGATTGAAATCTAATTCCTGGAATATTATATCACTCTAATGTACAACTATAATTAAAATATAGCATTCCCGGGTCTTTATTGGCACAAATATGTTGAAATTTATACGCGCATATCTATAAATTAGATTTGTTAAGTAAAGACGTCTATTTAAATTCGTTTACGTAGTATATGTCTGGTTTAAGACTAAATTTAGTTGTATCAAGATCAACATATGAAACTCAGATTAGTACAAAAGTATATCGTAACAGTCAACGTGTTACTTAAAGTGGTAATCAAATAAAGAAAACCACACATATATCATTTGTTGCGAAAACTTGTTTAACAAGTGAACACGTAGTAGGTACAATAAATTTATCAAATCAATAAAGTTAATGAACTGAAAAAGAATAAAAAACGATAATTCATGGATAAAGAAATAAGGTTTTTAAGTAGTCAGGGATATCTACTTTAATAATATCTGGTCATACTAAGCTTTTTAATGACAGATTTCATAATTACAAATAATGTATACATAATTGAAATATAATGTTTAGCTTACGAAGCACGTAAACCGTTGGCTACTTGATATTTCCTTTGTCATGACCGTAACAAGTGTGTAATTTCCATCTACCATGTCAAAAACACAGTTCACAAGACCTTGATCTGAAATACAAATATTTGACAACATTTTAATGTTATCATAATTATTAATGTCATTTTAATTCTAGAAAGATATTTAAGTAGTTTTAATGCTATAATTAGTTTTAAGAAAAACGAAGTATTTTTCAATTGTTGAATTGGATTTGAAATTTAGATATAAATTTTACCTTTTATTTATAGATGAAAACGTTTTATTATTATCATCATCATCATTATCATTTAATAATGTTAAATACTCATATTTTCTTTCATTCTTGCATGCTTGTTATCTAATCAAGCAGCAAAATATCATATCATACAAGTAATCAGTTAAGACTTTTACATCTTGATTTTGTTGGGGTTTCTATCTATATTTTATCCTTATTTGGTTTTTAGGAATGCCGATATTATTTAAGACGTATTGTAATATTCGGCTTTCTTGGTTGATGAAGAAGTCTAGTACCCATCTGTATATTATTTAAGGCACAAGTCTGTAATATGAGCAGAACCACTGACCTTACGTAAAGTTGCCAGACAGCCAGCTCATCTGAAGAGACCCCTTTAAATTTATTAAATTAAATATATTATTTTGCCAGTTGACTGTAGTTTACCCGAGTACGCAAGTATTTTTGAACAAAGTGTATAATTGAACATCATTGTGTCGCTGCTGGAGCAAACGCTCCAAGAACTATCACCAGAGTCACAATATTCTGTTGTCGTGTCATCAACAATGTATTTGTGTGATCCTATATATTCACTAGGACAAGCACGACTTGCGGCCTCTGTTTTATCTGCAAAATGTTTAAGTTGATTTTCAAATATATAAAGCGTTTTACATAACACAAACATGAGCAGAATTTTTATCGTACTTCAACTTTATTAGCAGCTATTTATATAAATCGAAATGGTATTTGGGATTTGTTTTTGGTCTGTCATTTTAATATTTTTCTTATTTTAGTCATTCGAAGGTTGAACATCGTACAGTCGTAAGTAAAAAAATTATAGCTCACTCGCTATAAGTTCTTGTATAAATTCAAAAAAATGTGAGCAAACAAAATAAAATGACAAAAGATCTATCCAACAGTGTTAATAAATAATAATACAATGTACATGGACAGCAATATTTTAATTCACTGTGGTTTGTTAAGTGATAATGCCATTCAAATTGCATAAATTGACCTTTAAAGTTATAAAATGTACCATTTCTTATGATGACATGATATTCCTCTGCAGATGGAGCATTGGTGTCAACTGACGACAAACAAAGAAGGTTTTCTGTTGGTGGGTTAGTTAGATATGTACTCGATTCAATCACAGGGAGTCGGTCATAACTCATTCTGGATTCTTCGTCTGTAAAAAAATATTATACTTGCTTCATGATGTCATTAACGGAAAATGTATCATAAATAATTAATAATTCTAAATACGTTTCGATTTTTTAAGGAGAAGTACAACATAATTATAAAAGTGTACTGATAAAAAAGTGGTTATATTCTTAATATTAATATTTATATTGTTACAAATTCCTTTATGAAGAAAAGCAAACATCGTTTTTTTTAAAAAGATAAAAATGCACAAAGAGGCTTTATTGAAACAAATTAATACTTTGATCGTTGAATTTTATTTATTATAGCATACATACATATATGCATGAATGCATGCATGCATGCAGCATTAAACTGTGTTTGTTCATAAAACAATTGGTACTTGGCACACTGTAGTCATATAGCCTTACTTGCTTTAGTAACATACTTTTTACAATCAATTACTTACCAGACATCTGGTAGTACATGTAACCCTGCTCAGAAAACTCTTCCATTTGCAAACACGCATAAACTACATAGGTAATTCTAAATAATTCAAATGTTGTGCTTGCTCTGAAACAATGCAATTCAGTTTATACATGTAGGAACTTCAGCATCAAAGAACATAATCTAACATGTCTCTTAAGTATTATTTACATGTATTGTTTTTTAACAACGGCACCTGTCTAGACAGGATTATGAAGAATTCAACTTTAGCAGTGCTTTTGCAGTCTTATATTATTTTGAAAATCAACACTGGACTGTCATCATTTTTAAATATAGTCTTATTTTTTGCTGTTACAATTTAGCTATGTAATAATTGAAAACGCCTTAAATTAGGCTTTACAACTTTTTTTAAAAACGCTTCATAGTTTGATTTCTCTGTTTTTCATGTTTAAGCAATTAAATGGCTGCATATTTAAGCTGATAAGAGTATGAATTTTCATTAAACAATTGTGAAATGTTAACTTTTTGGTTAGATGAATGTTTGGGCCTCGCAATTGTGTAAACAGAACACTGATTAAGGTAAATTATGATAAGGAAAAACCTACTTCAATACAAGTGTTAATGTAGTAGATGAAGTTTCATTTACACTGTAGCATTCCCATGAATCTATTGTTGTCCCTCCTTGAGCTGTTGCGCCCCAGCCACTCAGTGTCGTATCTGTAAATGTCACCTCACCACGGTTACTGTCGTGCCATATTGTATTTCTAAAGGCAGTTGGCCAGCTGCAAGATTTTGATACTGGGAAAGAAAATAATAGAAATTTCAATGCAACCTATACCTAAGAAATGAGTGAATTAAACTTTATAGGCAAGCATGTAATTTATAGCGTTTAAAAACTAGATTTATTACAAGAAGAACACGCGTGTAATGTAATATAAATATGTGAATATAAAGCACTTAATTATTATAACTATACTATTTGCCAAAATACAAAAGAAGCAAATAATGACAAAGATATTGACAAACCATTGACATGAAACAAAACATCAGTTATCAAAAGGACTAGCATATGAAACATTATTTACTTACTTTTATACGCATTTATTAACGGTCGGCCAATTAACTATCAAATGCGAAACAAACAAGCAAATCAAATTTGTAATAGTATTTTTATGCTCAACTTAGCGGCCTCCATCGTCACTGGTATGAATTTTGGCATTTAAGTTATTTTAAAAACAAATTGGCGAGCCAGAGCCCGTTTAAGACACGTTTTAAACGTATCATACTTCATACATGAGTTGCAAAACCATACATGTATTAAAATTCTAATAACAAAGTAAAGAAGATAAACTCACGTTTGACATTTATTGCCAATATTGCAATAACACATATGCCACCATTTTTCATATTGAATTATAATTGTTACAAGTAAATGAGACACATTGATTAACTAATCTAAAAAGTACAAACGTAATTATGAATGTTGTCAATAGAACAAGTCTTTAAGGAACACGTATACCCTAGAAAGTATCATACTGTGTAAAACACGCTTGAAATGTGTATAAAATATCATGTCAATTGTTATAATATATGTTAATTTGAATATCTTTGGAATTTCTTTGATTGGACTGAACCTGTTCCTAAACTTGTCATATAGACATTCAACATCTAATTACCACATGAACAATATATTTCTGCTTACTGGCTAACCAAACGACCCACCTTACACCAACCTACCTACACACCTACCTACCCACCTACTGACCTTCCCGTCTACCATCCATAATTATTATTGTTGATGTATGAGACGTTCACGACCATTGTCATCTAAGCTTCAACGTTCATGGATTGAGCATGGCAAAAACATTATTACAGGTGTCAATAGACCTTAAAGCTGTTACCGTTTTAACCTATATATCAAATACAATGAAGAACAAAACATTTAAAAAGAAAGGTAAATTGACTAAAAACAAAAGAACTGCGACACAATCGCAGGCAAATGTGTGAATTTAGAGTATCAATGTCTTATTATTATAACAATAGACAAGTTTAATTATTTGGGCGGATATATTAGGTTTCAATCTTGCCATATCATACATAAGCTTTAGTAAGTTTTACTAATTGATGTATAGGGTTTCAATGTTAAAATCACAAAATTCATTCAGGTGTTTTATTGCATACATTCATACATGTAGTCTGATTTCATTGACCTGTCAATGCTGAATACATTATAGCACTCCTTTACACTGAAGAAACATCGAAACACTATTCTGTCTTAATTTATATTGTGTTTTACGACATTAAAACTACATTAATTTTCTTGTTTCTAATCCAAATAGATTTCAAATATTATTTTCTTTTATTAAACCGTGGTATTTAAAAAGTGTATTTTACCAAAATAAGTGAAAAAACATATTTATAGTATACAAACAACACACAAATCAGTCATAGTTTTAATTATATTGAGCATGGAAAAATACATTGACAAAAGCGGTTTCGATTTTACCACATTTAGGACATTTAGACATTATAAACATGTAGTTTATCCTATTGCGCTATAACTCGCAGTGAAATTATTTCATACACATAAATTAAATCAAATCAAATCTTAGTGTTAAATCTCTCGGAACTGTCCGAAAATTGTGTGCGTTGACTAATAACAAATTGTTTGGTTTTACAAAGTAATGCCCTATTCAAAGCGTGTTAGCTTTTTTTTATGTAAACACATAAACAATACACTTTTTCCACATTCCTTCATTTGTAGTATATACTTTTTGTTTTCTATGTTACAACTGAAACACTACAATAACATTTGATTTAATTAACTTGGTGCCTGCTGTTTACTTTAATAATAATAATTATAATAATAATGATAAAATTATTATTACTATTATTATCAATAATAATAATAATAATAATAATATCAATAATAATAATAATAAAAATGATAATAATAATAATAATAATAAATAATGATAATAATAATAATAATAATGATGATGATAATAATTCATATATGAAACAAATCAAAAAACAATGTTTATGCGTTTATTTGTACAAATTTATGAATCATCAAACACAACTATTTGTCTTTAGCTTGAATCTCCGGTAAAGTGCAAAAGTTACATATTTGCTTCCTTCATGTTGTTTTTGAAAGAAAAGTAACTACAGGGTATGTTAAACATTTAGATGTTTATTGTTGATAACGCATTAATTTCCTTATATAATATAAACAGATGTGTTTGTGAAAAATGTACGCAAATGACATTAAAAACGTCATTTATTCAATGTAGCCGATTTGTATCACGTTATTACACTATCTGATGGGGAAACGGGAAGTGACATCTCAGAAACAGGGGATATCATCATGCCATCTGCATAACTTCCGGTTTTCGTTGATGTATCAAAACTATTAAATGGTGATAACACATTGTTATTACTGTTGATATCTAGGATCTGCGTTTCTGCTATATCAGTTATACTGACACGCCTGCTGTTATTCCTTGAAGCATCGTTAGAAGACGGTGGTAAAATTATTGATTTCTCTGTAATCATAGAGGAAGTCGTCCCAGAATTCCGTCGTTCATACCACTCTTTCTTGACGTCCTTCATCCTTGAAGAATACCGTAAAGCAAAATTCACATTTTCATCCATTATTATATCATCGAATACTGGAACTGTCTTTGTATTCTCTCTTGGTAATGCTGGACGAGCTTCGTACATTGACTCTGGTTTTAATGGAAGAGACATACCTTTTGCAGGCGTTGATTCTGGTTGCATGAAAACAGACCCCTGTCCTTCCTGCCAAGATGGTAAATTTACGGAAGACTTTCTATGATAAGCAGCATTGTGTTGATTAATTTGTTCCTTAGGGAAAGAACTTCGTTTTTGGGCCTGCCAGGAATCTTTGCCTTCGCTTTCTTGATCCACATCTTCTATGATCGTTGTTTCCCGTGGTGCTCTGGTAAATCCCCAAGGCACAACTCCATACCCTGATGTCTTATGTGACGTCCCTTCTATTGTTGAAACCGCTGTAAAAATAACGCATATAGTCATTTTATGAAAACATTCGTATTTTTTAACAATCATAAAAAAATAGGGTAAAAAGGCACTCGACTTCAAACCACTAGCGCCCGTTTGTTCAAATGACAACAAATACTTCAGCCAGCAAAGAAACGGCATTGATTCTACTCAAGTGCCAACTCGTGTCTGAAATAATTCACCGAGGGCACACTATTCTATGTAATACAATGTACAAAGTATGAAGTTGAAGTATATCAACTATTCTATTGTCATGTTCAATAATTTAAAAATACTTCAGCGTATCTTTTTTATTAAGACTCATCATGATTCTACTTGGATATCCGGTTGTACCGGAAATAATACATTGGGTGGCCCCTGAAATCTATCTCAAATACAAAAACCTGAATGATGCCCTATGACCACTTCTGTGCCGTTTGAGTCAACAGCGAGAAATAAATATGGGTCTTAGTGGTGGGATATATAAGGTCTTGTATCTCTTTCTGTGTGCCACTGCTGTTTTACTCTAATTCCAAGATGTACTTTCGGTTTCATTATATGGGCAGGTTATTGTTTCTACTCATATGCTTATTCGAGCCAAAAAATATTATACAAAGAAGTAAATCTTGTAAACCGGCTTATGACTTTGTCGGTATGATCTTAAATCCAACCTAGGAATGGAAGTACAAAAGTCTGGAAAAGAAAATTTAAACAGAGAGAAATTAGAGAAAATGGTCATACGTGTTTTCGGTCGAGGAGGAGGTTTTCTACAGCAAAACATCTTAACTGAGATGATGATTAGACAAACTAGCAATATCACGGCAACACAGCCTATGGCAATGGCTAGGTAAAGTGTGGTTTTACTACCAGCCGCTGGTTTTTGAGTTGTAGTTGTTCGAGTAGTGGTAGTTGTGGTGGTAGTAGGTGTCGTCGTTGTTGTCGTTGACGAAGTTGTTGGTGAAGTCGAAGCTGTTGTAGGGACGGTAGTAGTGGTTGTTGGTGGAGAAGTAGAAGTAGTAGAAGTGGACGTTGTTGGAGATGTTGTGGAGGTTGTAGATGTTGTAGATGTGGTCGATGTCGTAGACGTTGTGGTTGACGTAGTTGTAGACGTAGTGGTTGACGTAGTTGTAGAAGTTGTAGATGTTGTAGAGGTTGTAGTTTCTTCTAAAAAACGCAATTTACAAATTAAAAAATATATATAATTATAGAAAACAGGACAACAATTTATCCATATAGGGCACAATCAGTACATCACAACAATTATTATCATGATAAATTCTCTTTTTCTGGAACAATCAGATATCCGAAATGCTTCTTACATTACACAAAAATTTACAAAAAGTTAAGTTATGCGTTTCCTACAAAAACAATATAATGATTTATTATCTAAAATGTCTCAAATTATCTATGTTATTTTAGAAATGGAGAAAACTATTAATCTACATACCGCACAGCTCTGAAAAAGAGAAATAAGAAGAAGTAAGCACAGTAGTATGTTTAATTCACATCTTTTTCTGCAAAGTATAGTTAAGCTTGTTTTGATATTGATGAAATAGAAATAATTATCTAATATTTTAGTAGATATTATAGTAGATATTGACGATTAAAACTAATCATCATTTATATGTGGTTTATGATATAAGTTAACATAATACTTTCTAACAGGAGATGTAAGTTTATGCAAAAGGACAACGTCCTCCACTAACCACAGTGCTTGACAGTAAAAATGAAGAATTTTTCTAAGTTCAAAGAGAGCCATAGTTCTGTCAACATCCACGTTAGAGTTTTTGGCCTTGGACATTGGCCTCCTATAAGACTCTCAAAAACGTGTAAGAAATTTCAACCCGTTCACTTTAGTATTATAGAGATACCAATGTGCAGAGTGTGACCGATGCCGAAGTGTGTACGATAGTTCTCATTATTTTTTAAATAGTCAAGCTTAAATAACACTCGCACTGGTGCGAGTTTTACGTGATCTAATATTATAAAATTCATATCATTAATAACATTATTTTGTTTTAGAACTTTTTATTATCTGCGTAATGCAAATATTCCATATCGGATCATGTATGTTACTCTTACAAACAATGTCCATTTGTAATATTTCCGTGGATTTGTTTTACATAATATATAAACAAGCGGGCCATGACGGCCCTGAAATCGCACACCTGTACATGTATATAGGCCCTTGGGGTGGTGCCAATTTTAATCCAAGGGCTTTTATTTGAACAAACTTTGTAGACACCCATTTGAAGATGTTTCATGATAAATATCTAAGCTCTAGCTGTAAGAATATTTTTTTTTAATTTTTACTATACATATATAGGGAAAAACAATGACCCCTCCCCCATCTGGGCGGGGCCAATTTTGTCCCCTTGGCAATTATTTTAACAAACTTGGTAGTCACTCACTAGAAGATAGTTCATGCTTAATATCTAAACTCTAGCTATTTGGGCTTTTTAAAAGATTTTTTTAAGGTTTTACTATATACATATAAGGAAAAACAATGATCTCCGGGGCGGGGCCAATTTTAACCCCTGAGCACTTATTTGAACAAACTTGGTAGACAACTATAAGAAGATGTTTCACGCGAAATATCTTAGCTCTAGCTCTTAGGGTTTTTAAAAGAAGATTGTTTAAAGTTTTTACTTTAAACAAAAAAGGAAAATCAATGACCCCCGAGGCGAAATCAATTTTGGCCCCAGGGCATTTTTTTAACAAACTTGGTAGACACTGACTAGATGATGTTCTTTGTCAAATATTTAAGCTCTAGCTGTTTCGGTTTTCTTAAAGACAATATTTTAAGTTTTTTTCTTTCGGTCGCCATGGCAACCAGAGTTCTGCTTAGAATAAAATTCTTTGAACAATTTTTAAAGTTGACTACCAAAGGAACATTCCTGTGAAGTTTGGATGAAATTAGCATAGCGGTTTATGGGGAGATGTTGTTTAAAGTAAAAGTTTACGGATGGACGACGGACGGAAGACGAACGAAAAGCGATCACAAAAGCTCACCATGTCACTTTGTGACAAATGAGCTAAAAACTATCAATCTAACAATTCATAACTAATAGACCGTCTATAAGGGGCCAATTTTTTCAATTGATTTAGACAAGATCTATCTGAGGAGTAGTGCGCCTAATTTTTCTAAGTACTTGATAGTACGGTTAAAAAAAAGGAAAGGGAATATTATTTTGATAAAATGTTTCGCAGGAATAAGATTTTTTTTAAAAATGCTCTTTTAGTGTTATGTGATCTTTGATCTTTAGTAATGCATCAAATTCTAAAAGTGAGCAAGAATTAAATGTTTTAAGTAAATATCTTTGATAATTTTAGAGAAATTGACCTTAACAAAACGGTTAATCAGCGCGACTAAATCATAGATATTGTATCACAAGATCATAAACAAGTAATGAAATTTGAATTTCATAACATTATGCAATTTGGTATTAAAGTTAAATGAACCTAAAGGTTCCAACGCCGACATTAACGTGGACCGACGCCACAGCGGAAGAGTGTTCTACCTATTTTTTTTCAAACAGTGGAGCTAAAATTAATCCAAAAATATTTCATTTACCTTTGTCATTTAATACCATTTTCAGTCCAGATGATGGTACATCAAAAGGCGACTGCGATTTAGCACAACTTCCAGGATGCTGTGAAACGTACAGAGTTCCATTTTGAGCCAAATGAGATACCTTCGTTTAAAATAGACACACAGCAATATCTTGTAAGTATGCATGGTTACATAGTGTAAAATGATACGTCCATATTTTCTAGATCGTGTTGAAATGTTCAATCAATACACAACGTATACGATTGTGTGTGAAATGTAAATATTGTAAACTGATGGTGATAGTGATAATTATCATTGTATTGCATATACATGCTTAACCAGACTGTAGATCAAAGTCTAGTGGGGTTTCACAAGGATGTGACATAAAGTTGTGCATAACATTGAGGTAGACTCGCCAACTCAAGCATAATGGTATGCTTCATGGCAAAGAATCGGCAGAAAGACTGTTGTCTAACATTGTTTTCAATAATTGCAATATGAAGAGCACGAATTGCAACAAATCAGGTTAACACTTATGATTAGGATCAACACGGGGTTGTTGTTGCTGCAGCATATCATATCAATTATTATACAGCGATAGGAACAGAAATGTTTCTAAGCGAAAACAATATCAGCGCGATGGACGTACTGCTAAAGCCTTCGACCTTAACGTGATAGAAATGAGACGCAAGATAAATAAAAGCACTGCATTAAAAGGACTTTGCAGAGTCACGGACCATTCCCTAATTACTAGCGTTTATTGTCCAACAATGAGCGGATATTCGACGACATTAAGTATATCTTATGTCACATATATGTGACAAATCTGTTCATATGTGACGAAGCTGTTAGGCTGTGTGTTTGCAAATATGGTATTGTCATTAACATCATTGTTTTGCAACATTGACTTTTGAAGCATCATTCTCTTTATTGGTCACATATATGTAACAAAGCTGTTTATATGTGACGAAGCTGTTAGGCTGTGTGTTTGCAAATATGGTATATAACTGACATCATTGTTTTGCAACATTGACTTGAAGCATCATTCTCTTTATTGGTCATGTGTTTGTTGTGAAATCAAATAACTGGAATATCATACCACTCTACAGTATAACTATATATATAAATGTCAACATGCACTCTTACAAAAATTGAAAACGTAGAAGGTAGCACAACTTTAAACAAGGTATATCAAATTAATGTTATAGTTACGTTAATAATTAAACTAAAGAAGAAAGATATTTTTGAATACGTGAATATTAAATGATTTAGATGTTATGTATCTAAATAGCAAGGGATATCTTCTATTAATTTTGGTCAAAGTAAGCTTTAAAATAACAGATGTCCCAATTCTAAACAATGTAATATATTTTTAAAAGTTAGCTTACGAAGCAAGTAAACCGTTGGCTACTTGTTATTTCCTTTGTCATGACCGTAACATGTGTGTTATTTCCATCTACCATGTCAAAAACACAGTTCACAATGCCTTGATCTGAAATTTTAATATAAGACAATGTAGTTGTAGTTTTAGTTGATCTATTATGGATACTTATTTTTTAACCTGCATATCGTTTTGCGAGAGAGGATGCATTATTCCCCTTTTCAACAAATTTGCAATTTAGACATACATTTAACTTGAAAACGTTTGTTTATTATTATCATCATCATAAAGTTCAGACACTCTTTTTGCCTTTCACACATGTGTCTGTTTGTTATTCAATAAATGCAAAAATATTAAAATAATATCAGTTACTTTCATCAATTGACATTTTATTTTTACAAATTAACTCTGTCGTGATTTTTTCTTTTGTTTGATTTTGGGTTTTATGAAATACCGATACTGTTAAAGAAATATGGTGAATATTCAGTTTTGTTGGCTGAGATAGACCTTAGGTACCCCTCGGTAAATTATTTCATGCATGAGTCAGTTTTGAGTAGAACCGCTGACTTTCGTTATCTAGCTAGATAGTCTCCTCATGTGATAGAATCCAAAGTCCCTGGTGGAATTCAAACCAACATCTTTGAAGAGTATCTTGGTTCGAACTTACTTTATTACTTGGATGCAGACACCCCCTTTCATTTTGTAATATATAATTTGGCCAGATGGCTATACTTTACCCGAGTAAGCAAGTATTTTTGAACAAAGTGTATAATTGAACATCATTGTGTCGCTGCTAGAGCAAACGCTCCAAGAACTATCACCAGAGTCACAATATTCTGTTTTCGTGTCAGCCACAATGTATTTGTGTGATCTTATATATTCACTAGGACAAGCACGACTAGCAGCTTCTGTTTTATCTGCAAAATGTTTTAAGATAATAATGTCACATATAACACGAACATGAACAGAATTTTTATCGTACTACAAAAATAAAACTCTCCCAAAGCAACATTTTTTTCTTTCTTTATCATGAAGCTATTTATAGAGATCGAAATGGTATTTGGGATTTGTTTTTTGTTTGTCTGTCATTTTGATACTTTTCTTATTTTAGTCCTTCAAAGGTTAAATATCAAACAGTTGTAACTCAACAATTATAGCTCACTCACTATAAAAAAGTTATTGTATAAATTCAATTAAGGTAAGCTAGCAAAATGTCAAAAGATCTATCCAACAGTGTAGATAAATAATAATACAAGGCCAACAGTATGTTAATTCACTTTGATCATAAAAGTGAAAATGACTTTCAAATTGTATAAATTGGCCTTTACCTAAGCATACATTAACTTTTAAAGTGTATTTGTAAATGAATTGATCTTCAAAGTTGCATAACTTGATCCTCCAATTTATATATATTGACCGTCAAAAGGGTTGTGTCGACCTTTGAATAGTCATAAAATAACCTTTTAAATAATAAAATGTACCATTTCTTATGATGACATGATATTCCTCTGTAGATGGCGCATTGGTGTCATCTGACGACAAACAAAGACGGTTTTCTGTTGGTGGGTTAATTAGATATGTACTCGATTCTGACACAGGGAGACGGTCATAACTCATTCTTTGGTCTTCTTCTGTAAAAAAAAATAGACGTACATTATGATGTCAACGGAAAATAAATGTATCATATATATACATTTATTTATTCGTAAAACAATTGGTACTTGGCACACTGAAGTCATAAAGCCTTACTTGCTTTAGAAACATACTATTCACAATGAATTACTTACCAGACATCTGGTAGTACCTGTAACCCTGCTCCGAAAACTCTTCCATCTGCAAACACGCATATGCGACATAATGCATTCTCCATAATTCAAAAGTTGTGGTTGCTCTGAAACAACGCAATTCGTTTTATACATGGAGGAACTTCAACATCAAAGATTATAATCGTACTTGTATCTTAAGTATTCTTTACGGGTATTCTTTTTTAACAACGGCACCGGTCAAAACACAGCACAAGGATTGTGAAAAATTCAACTTAAGCAGTGGTTTTTCAGTCTTATATTATTTTGAAAATCAGCCATGGACTGTCATCATTTTTAAATATAGTTTTATTTTATACTGTTACAATTTAGCTATGTTATAGTTGAAAACGCCTTAATTCAGGATTTACAACTTATTTAACAACGCATCATAGTTTACTTGCTCCGTTTTTTATGTTTAAGCAATTAAATTGCTACATATTCAAGCTGATAAGTTAAACAATTGTGAAATATTAACTTTTCGGTTAGATGAATGTTTGGGCCTCGAAATTGTATATTAAACAGAACACTGATTAAGATAAGTTATTTTAGGAAAAGCCTACTTCAGTAAAAGTGTTAATGTAGTAGACGAAGTTTCATTTACACTGTAGCATTCCCATGAATCTATTGTTGTCCCCCCTTGAGCTGTTGCGCCCCAGCCACTCAGTGTCGTATCTGTAAATGTCACCTCACCACGGTTGCTGTCGTGCCATATTGTATTTCTAAAGGCAGTTGGCCAGCTGCAAGACTTTGATACTGGGAAAGAAAGTATAAAACATTTTAATGCAACCTATACCTAAGAAATGAGTGAATGAAAATTTATAGGCAAACATGTTATTTATAGCGTTTACGTAATAGATTTAGGACACATGAAATGCTTATTACAAAAGAACACGCGTGTAATATAAAGGCGGATATATTAGGTTTCAATCTTGCCATATCATACAGTTTTACTAATTGATGTAAAGGGTTTCAATTTTAGAATCATAAAATTCATTCAGGTGTTTTATTGCATTCATTCATACATATAGTCTGATTTTATTGACCTGCCAATGCTGAATACATTATAGCATTCATTTAAATATGCGATCCCACTTCGGCTCTGTCCGTGTAGTTTTAGACTTAATACGATTATAACTATTCTTTTTTAAAAGTCACACCAGCTTAATGTATATGTCGTCGGCACATCCGCATAGCATAGACAGTAAAGTGATTACCTAATATATGAGAAGTCTGTATTACGACCCCTACAGTTCCTAATTTGTACACTATAGATTGATGGATTTGGTCGGTTATTTGCAAATATGTCTACACGGATATGAAGAAACATCGAAACACTATTCTGTCTCGATTTATATTGTGTTTTACGACATTGAAATTACATTAATTTTCTTGTTTCTAATCCAAATAAATTTGAAATATTATTTTTCTTTATTAAACCATGTTATTTAAAAAGTGTATTTTACCAAAATAAGTGCAAAAACATATTTATAGTAAACGAACAACACACAAATCAGCCATAGTTTCAATGATATTGAGCATAAAAAACATGGACCTACGCGGTTTCGATCTTATAATATTTAGAAATTATAAACCTGTAGTTTATCCTATTGCGCTATAACGCTCGGTGTAATTATTTCAGAGACACAAATTGAATAAAATCGTATCTTAGTGCGTAAATCTCACGGAACTGTCCGAAAATCTAACAAAGATTTAATATATTGTGTGCATTGACTGATAACAATTTTTTTTGGTTTTACAAAGTTATGCACTATTCGAAATGTGTTAGCATGTACACACATGTGCACAACACAATTTTTCTTCTGTCTTCGTTTTTAGTAAACACTTGTTGTCTTCTATGTAACCACTGCAAAACTACAAGAAAATTTGATTTTATTATCTTGTTGACTTCCGTTAATTTCTTAACTTTCAAATTGTACTATTACCTTTATTTAAACTATTTGTATGCGTTTATTTGTACATTTATGAATCTTCAAACACAAGTATTGGTCTTTAGCGTAAATCTACGGTAAAGTGCAAAGGTTACATATTTGCTAGATTTTGAAAGAGAAGTAACTATGTTAAACAATAACATATTTGTTGTTGATAACGCATTTATTTCCTTAAATAATATAAACAGATGTGTTTGTGAAAAATGTACGCAAATGACAGTAAAAAACCTTCATTTATTCAATGTGGCCGATTTGCATCACGTTATTACACTATCTGAGGGGGAAACGGGAAGTGACATCTCAGAAACAGGAGATACCATCATGCCATCTGCATAACTTCCGGTTTTCGTTGATGTATCAAAACTATTAAATGGCGATAATACATTGTTATTACTGTTGATATCTAAGATCTGCGTTTCTGCTATATCAGTTATACTGACACGCCTGCTGTTATTCCTTGAAGCATCGTTAGAAGACGATGGTAATATTATTGATTTCTCTGTTATCTGTTGGCCAGTTACAAGACTTTGATACTGGTGAAAAATATAAACAAAGATTTAAAGGGAAACTTTGACTAAGAAATCAGTTATCTTTACTTTTAAGAGAGTTGAAGTACATGTTATAGATTTAGAACATGTTAGATTCTTATCACCTGAAATATAAGCGTTGAGTTTGAAATACCTTTTTGTTTATAAAAGTAGCACTATTTAAACAATGTGATAACCTAATTCCATTCACAACATTTAACTATATTAACTATTTTAACTGTACTGTTGCACAAAATGCAAATTACAATATGATGATTCAGATATACAGCGTACGATCAACGTTTTTGAACTGCATCAGAGCACCCCCAAAAATGAAGCATATGAAAATAAGCAATTGTGAGGCATAGTTAGCAAATAGTATAATTTCTTGATTAACAGGTTCCGAAGGTTTAATAAGACAATAATATAATTATAATATGAAATAAGCAGAAATATACACATCTTTAGATAGAGAATTTTGCATAATTTGCAGAGAAAGAAGAAGAAAAAAACAACATTTTTTTGTATTCAAACTGCAAACTATAATATCATTGTTGACCCTTAATTGTTCTTTTAAAAATGCAAAAATGTCTCCACCTCAAGCACCCCCTCCTTTGACTTGCAATATATTTTAAATGTTTTTACATAGTGCTAAGAGTCCAGGGACATGACATTTAGCAGCTTCTAAAGAATTAAAGTGTATGTAATATTTGATAGATATTGACAGATCATCAGCATGGCACCAAACAACAAAACGTACGTTTTCAAAGATACTAGAGTTTACCGTTTTATCGTCAATTAATTTAAGGTCGGTCAGGCAACCAAGCAGTTCAACTCTGAAGCGTTCGTGTGCTCATTTGATCCGAATGCACTGTGACAGGTATAAATTCTTGCGGCTTTCAATGTGATCTTAAAAATCATTATCAATAAGCCCAAGTCCGGATAGATAACCGCGTTATGAATTTCTTGTATTTCGTGCATGATTTATTGTAATAAAAGCATGAATGCACAACAAAGTAAAGGAAATAAACTCACGTGTGATATTAATTGCCAATAGTGCAATGATAATGCATATGCCACCAATATTCATATTGAATAATAATTGTTACAAGTAAAAGATAAAGAAACATTGATTAACATATATGATAAGTACAAAGATAATAATGAATTTGGCCATGGAAAAAGTCTATAAGGAACATGAACACCCTAGACAATATCATATCGCGTTAAACACGCTTGAAAAGCAATAGTTGGTTTTATCGTTACGTAAAATTGAACATGTGCCCGACACATGCATATAGACATTTTAAATATTATCACGAGAACAACATGTATCAAAACATTTTTATCCGATGGTAATACCCCTTATCATGCTAAATTTGTATTTGATACAGCGTGCTTTTAATTTGGGACCGTCCATGAATGTAACAAAAAAGATACAATGAGATAATAATTATCCTTGGGTAAAGCACATCTTGTAGAAATACATTAAATCTAGGAAATTCTTACTAAATAGGCCTAATTTGAGTAAGACAATGCCCTAACGGTATGTTTGGAAGCAGCATTCTCATCCTTCGCCAAGGTCATTTCATAAACAACTTTATTTTTTTTAACGATACTTTGTGTTTTAACTGTGTTTACCTTTAGTGTGTAACATACCAAAAGATGTATTCATTTTACTTTTATAAATATGTAAGACGAAACTGCATAGCATACAATATTTTAAATATAATTTATAATAATGATCATGATTGGAAATGTTGCAATAATAACGGTTATTATGTGGGGCGTTAAGTAGGGCTTTAAGCGAACTAATTAAAATGACCGGTGTCACTAGCCCTTAAACTGAAACAGGTTTAACTTATTCATTCATAACAATGAAAAATCAAAACATGTATTCAATTCATAAAGAAAGGTAAATTGAATAAAAACAAAAGGACAGGGAAACATCAAAAGCGTATGGGTGAAATAAGATCCATGTCTGACAAGTTATATTATTTGGGCAGATATATTATGTTTCAATCTTACTATATCATGTATCAGAGTTAGTGGTTAAGATTGATTGATAAATAGGGCGGATTTATCCGGTTTCCCCTTTAAAATCATAAAAAGATCATTTAAGTTTTACCATATTTATTCACATAACTTTTATTTATTTTAACAATTTAAGGTCGTGCATATTTAATAGAAAAAAATGTGTTATAATATCATTAACACAACAAAATAAGTTTACCTATTTTTCGTTTGTTGAATTACTATTTCAACTGCAAAAATACATTACCATGTTACAAACTGTAGTTTTCTTTATAATAATGCTTTTATTTTTTCTAAGTTGATTTTTTCGGAGAGCGTCCGTTTTAATAGTTAACAGTTTTAAGTAATTTTAATCCATGTATGCAACAAATAATAAAACTCTGTTTATTTATTTAGGACTATTGTTTCAAGGTGTGACTATTCGGTAAAGGGAAATGGTCACTGATTTGTATTAATTATTGAAAGAGAGATAACTCTAACTGTTACAAAATTAAATATTTAGTTTGATACTAGTAAGCAATAATTCCCTTACAGAATAGAAATTTTAAAAAATGTGGTTGTGAAAAAAGGCAGTAATTAATATAAACTTGTGAATGGATCAAAATTAGTTTATTTATTTTATTTATTTTAATCCAAAAGTAGACTGAAAATCCCAACTAAAGACACTCTTCTATTTTATTGTTCTAAAACACAGTTAAAGTAAATGAAAAATAGATACAATGCACTTTCCTTACTATGCGTACAATCAAATTAACAAGGAAACTATCATTATGTAACTATAAATTAATTAACAATGCATCATTTCCACAGTAAAAAATAAAAATCCAGTTTGTTCAGCAAAGCCAAGATCACAAATTTAGGTCAACAAAAAAGATTTATTAATACCACAACCTAAAAAACAGGTTGACTTATTCGGGCCCTAAACTTTAGTTTTATATCTTTCTACTGAAACTGGTTTTATTATTATTGTTTTTTTATAATTATTCGCCTTATTACGCCTTTATTCGCGTTATTACGTCTTTTTTCGCATTTTTTGCATACAATTACATTTATCTGACATTCCAAACATCTCCTTTAAATGACTGCCATAATATATTTTACAAATATTAAGTATTAAAAACATGCACATTTTTATACAAAACCATGTCCGTATATTTTTGCAGCAATCGGCAAATAACCATTGTCTCGCGCAAATTGCGCGGGACATGCGTGATGGATTACTGATTTAACCTCTGGATTGTCTAGGATGTAATCTGGTCATTCGTCATTTTTTCACACCTTTTAAGATTGTAATCTTTTATCTACCGATGTATCAGGATGAGTTATGTTGTTTTTTATTAACCAGGCATGTAGCAAAACAACAAAATTTACACTCCTCTTTTTTAAACAAATCATCCAAGCGTCAACGTATATTATGATCGAACAGAAGATTTGTATATAAGGGGGACTGATTGTGTTTTATAATTAGTGAATGTTTGTCTCTTGTTGTTTTTTTTCTGATTCTTGACGTAAACATTAAAAGACATTAAAAAATGTTGACGATGAAATCATTGTTCGGTATTGTATTGCTGGTAGTTCTTGTGGAGGGGTCAAGCAAAAAGGGCGTGGTACACTGGGCAGATAGTTATATGTGTGATGATTTTGAAATATTGAATAACATGACATGGTGGTAAGTATTGTTTTTGTCTTGTAGTTATTGTTTCTCTTTAATTTGTTTAGTCTAATTTCTTTCTTAGTTTCCGTCCTCATGTTTTTCGTCATGTTGTTATTGTTGTTGTTGTTACTCTATTTGTTGTTCTTCTATTTCTATTGCTAATTATTTTTCTCTGTGTCGTCTTCTTCTTCCTATTTATCTTTTCTCCCATTTTCTTTATCTAATTATCTTCTTCTTTTCTTTTTCTTTATTCATCTACAGAATTATGTCCTTACCGTTATGTATTCCTTTTTCCTCATGTTTTTCATCATCATCTTTTTTTCTTTTCCTCCTTTTTATATCATCATCTTTATCAAGTTCCGTTCCCTTTATATGATTTATATAAAAGGAAATACGGACTAAATTATGGTAATGTTCTTTTATTTAATTTTATATAATTATATATAATTTGAAAGTTCCATTATAAAGTAATTTTTCTTGAAAATGATCATATTAAGGTAGAAGGTAAGGAGAGGTCATCGTTTTAATTAAATGAGGTAAGCCTTTATGATGTATGAATTAATCAGTGTGAGGAAAACTTTTTTGTTAACCAACAACCTTTAATGATTAACTTAAGAGAATGAAAAATGATTGGACGGACGAGCAGACGAACTAAGAATGAATGAATGAATGAATGAATGAATGAATGAATGAATGAATGAATGATGGATGGATGAATGAATGAATGAATGAATGAATGAATGAATGAATTAATTAATTAATTAATTAATTAATTAATGAATGAATGAATGAATGAATGAATGAATGAATTAATTAATTAATTAATTAATTAATTAATTAATTAAGAGTCACAATAAAAAAATGAAAGAGGTGTTTGGTATTTAAAAATATGTGGTTGTAAAATAGCGTGTACAAAAATTCGTTTTTGCATACAATTAACTTGAAAATGATTGATGTTTTGCATATTTTTTCGCCTAAAAATGTCAAGCCTGTGTTAAAGAACACCTCAGTCTGAATAAAAATAATCATGCTTATTGTATCACCCTTTTTATCAATTTCAATAATTATAATATTATAATTATTATCAATTAATTTTGATTATTAATCCATCATTTAAAAATAAAATGAAGTAACGTCCAAATGAAGATCACCTGTCTATGAAATAGACATGAAATTGGTGTATGCTTCTTATAAGTGTATTCATTGGAAGAAGCAAACACGAATGTCGATGGTACATTTCATCCTAAAAATGAAACCAAACAGACATCTATGTGCTGGAATGTCGATATGTAACATATGTAAAAACCCGCAAAAAATAAATGAACTAGAATCAAGACATTAAGTTATAAAATCAATAAACTAACAATTACTAGTCTTCAAGACATTTTTATTATTTATTGATATACTCAACAATTATCGATTTTGATTATATTTCATTAATTCCAATAACTTAAAAGCCGATTAAAACCCAGAAATGCTTTTATTATAATTTCTCAAAACCTTTTATTCTGCTGTCCTGCTATAGCTTCAAAAAACGTTACTCGCTGGTCACTGAAACATCTTGCTTCTTTTGCTTTTTTGACAATTAGTAAAAATATAGTGATTCAGTATTTTGTATAGAAGTCAAAATACTACTTTGTCTCTATTTTACTACTTTAATAACAAAATTAGTAATTTTAAATTCAACGCTACTTTCCTCAGGTGATTAGCATGCCATACAACTTATTTTTACCCTTTTTAATGAATAAAATAATCTTTTCTGGGGCACAATGTGTCTTAAATAAATGGTTTATATTACGATTTGAATCAAACACTTTATTAAAACGAACACTGATATGCCTTATATTTCACCCGTTAAAGTCAATAATATACCAATGTGATATGGGTTATATCTGTACCAACAGCGTCACGGGTGGTGTGTGACACAAGTATAATATATTAATTATTTACGTAATTATTTACGATCATTATTATTTTAAGTTATTATTTATTTATTTATTTATTTATTTATTTATTGTTTTTATCAATATTTCAAATACTTATTTAATAATGTGCCCATGGTACACCAACCGCTTTAAGACATTTAAAATATTGATGAGAGTGAATGAACTATACATTGATGTTTTATTTATATTTATCATTGATTGTATCAATTTATGTATAATTGTATGTATTGACCGAGGTATAGATTAAACAAACTGTGGTATCCAATTTCACGATTTTCACCTTTCGTCGACCTCTAAAAACGAGTTTATTTACCCTTAAAAAAAACAACAAACATTAAAGGATGGGTGATTCGAAAATAACCTGTGAACGTCTGTGCACGTATTTGAGTTTTTTTATACTCGCCACCGGTTGCCCATACGGGCGAGTCCTCCAGAGGTGTATTAGTCATTTTAGATTTTAGAGGATAGGGCAAGATACAGAAAATATTCCCAATTCCTGAAGCTTCTCCTGGTTCTTTAACGTGCCAAGTGTTTAAGCACTTAAACACGGGACCTCATCCGAAAGACTGACAAGTAATTTTAGTTGGCCAGCACGGGAATCGAACCCACACTGTGGAGATTACAAGTCTGGGCTATGCTGGCTGGCACTGTGAACGTCTGTGTAAAGTATAAGGGTTTTATATCATTTAAGACCGGCATTTTGACAGACTTAACACAAGACAAAAACGAAGAAAAAATTAATGAAAGATAAAATAAATCAAAATTATATAATATCTAGAGGTTCATTAATATTCCTATTTCACCTGTCAACTGTTAAGAAACATTTATAAAATTATATTCCTTGCTTGTCCGTTATTGAGAGTGCCAAATTAAAGATCAAAAACATTTTATCTTTAAAATGTATTTATATATCTTTTAACTTTCGAATTTTTGACACCGCAATTCTGAGATAACGTTCATTTAAATAATAAAAGATAATCGATAACTAAATTAAGTTGTTGTTGTGTGTTTTTTGTCTCCCTCTCCTTTGATCTTTTTGTTTTTATTTACTTCTTCCAATCTTGCCTAAAACCAAACATTTTGTTACAACGTCTTTTTGCTGTTTTGATAGTCAAGACATTTTAAAGTGGTAATCATATGCAACGTTTGTAATTTACATGGAGGATAATGATAAGAGATATATATCCAAAAGCTAAAATCCCACACATGTCACTATGATACATTAATTACTTACTATAACATTGTAAAGTGAAGATGAAATCTTCAATTCGTGAAATTGAAATTCTGAAGTTCAAAACATGTATTTGTATTTATGAAGCTGAGATCGTGAAGGTGAATTTATGAAGTTAAAACCATGAATTCGTGATTTCGGTATGTTGAAAACGTGAATTCACGAAGTTAAAACTGTGTAATTAACGGATCTAGGTAGTTGAAACGTCTCCACCGGTCTTTCACAGTACGAAAGATCGGTGTTAACATTTCAACTTCACGAATTCCCGATTTCATCTTCTCTTATTAAACAATTCGTTTTCACGATTTCACCTTCATCAATTCTTTTCACTAATTCACGATTCGTTTTCACGAATTCAAGATTTCAATTAAAATTTTCATGAATTCACGATTTCCACTTCACTTATTCACGAATTCATGATTTCAATTTCATGAATTCACGATTTTAACTTCATGAAATCACGAAGTTGAATTAAAGAAGTTGAAATCGTGAATTCGTGAAGATAAAATTGTGAATTAATGAATATGAAATTGGGAATTTATGAAATTTCAAGAAAACCTGGAGGCATGCTCCTTTAAGTACATTGTAACAGCATTTTAGTATTGTCGTTATTTGTAAAACATAAACTTGCCACGAAGATCTAAGATAGTAAAGCTATCTAAATTACATTAATCTACGTACCAAAAACATTTTGTCACCAAAATTACTACTTATTCCCGTACTATTTTTACAGTGTTTTTTATTTGTTTATTCAATTATTATATTCCCCCATGGGTTTATTTTGATTAATATAACGACAGAACAGAATGTAACAGAATAATAAAATACATTCTGTTCAGTAATATAACGGCAAAAAAAAGAACACTAATTATGTAATTAATTAATGAGAATTATCATAAAAATGATCATCTTAATTATCATTATTATTATTATCATCATCATCATCATCATTATCATCATCATCATCATCATCATCATCATCATTATTATTATAATTATTATTATTATTTTATCATTATTATTGTTTTTATTATTATTATTATTATTATTAAACAATAATAATGAAAATTACAAAATATAACATTGAAAAAAATTGTGCGACAGATAATTATTCTAACTTATTCAATAAGAACAACAACAAATTCTTAATTAGAATGACCGTATGCATGCTTTTTGTGATGTAACAAAAATGTATGTATACGAATGAGACAAAAATAAAGTAAGACTATATGATAATTATAAGCATTCTATTTCTGAATGTAAACGGAAATGTAGAGTCGTGCTTAAAGATTATACTATTTTTAAATCAATATAATACATGTATACCGCAATGAATGTATACATATAAAATTATAATGTTTTTAAAGATTTTTTGTAATTTTGTAGGTTTGACTTTAGAATGAGTCTAGATTATTTCCACGAGAAAAATATTTGCAAGTCATCAATCGATAACTACAAACACAACTATGTCCCCATGGTTTGGGGATACTGGAGTGACACGAAGATCTTTATTGACGATGCGGCTGAATTCGTCCTCGGTTTCAATGAGCCAAATCACGTAGAGCAATCCAATATGTCGCCAGAAAAAGCGGCTGCAGCATGGAAAGAGGTAGAAAAGCATTCTAAAGGGAAACCACTAGTGAGCCCATCAGCGGCAGTGTGTGGAAAGAACTGTAGAAGTACTGAAATCGAATGGTTTGACAAGTTCTTCGAACTCTGCAAAGACTGCCGAGTTGATTACCTCGCAACACACACGTATTGGTGTAATGCAAACAAAACAATGACGTATTTGGAGAGTTTGTTCAAGAGATACGGGCGAAAAATTTGGCTGACAGAGTTTGCTTGCGGCGAATCGCCGTATGAGTTGGAACAACTGAATTATATGAAAGACATGTTACCGCGACTTGAAGCTGCTGACTACATATATAGGTAAAACAATTACCGAAGCATCTAACATGCTATCTTAAGATCATTTTTCTCAAATGTAAAATATTTATTTCTTAGACATGATATGAATTAATTTGACAAATGTAATTATTTTGTTTGCATTTATCTCGTCAAACAGTTCAGACTTCGTAACAGATAGAGATAGATGCAAATTGTTTCTCCCTGCATTTTCTTTCCGACATGAACAATTTAAACAATGTTAGAGCGTCACAGCATCAGTCGTCTGTCCAGTTTATGTCTTCACGCGACACAAACCAACGTTCCTGACAGGGGGTCGAACTCACAGCGTCGAGGGGCAAGTGCTTCAAACTAAGCTATCTTAATCACTTGATGCACGGGTGACCTATGGCAACTGTTAAGATTGTCTTACCGACCTCTCAATTGAACAATATTTAAAAAAAGAGGGTATTACCGACCTCTCATTTGTAAAATGTTCGAAAAAAAGGAAATAGACATGAATTGTATAATATGCTTTAATTTTACTACTACTACTACTACTACTACTACTACTACTACTACTACTACTACTACTACTACTAATAATAATTATAATAATAATAATAATAATAATAATTATTATTATTAGAATAATAATAATAATTTGTTCGTAGATATGCTTGGTACAGGGCTAGGCTGACAAAGTCCGGATTCATCACCACAGCCGCAAGCCTTCTGAAGAAAGATCGATCTGAACTTACTGAACTTGGTCGCCTCTACAATAACTATCAAGGGGAGACAAGTACGTATCATAATAAAGTAAACATCTATTTCGGGAATAGTGTCTATCAAAGGCAAGAATATATTGCTTAACCCTAATGAATAGTTGAATTTCAGGTAGTACAGTAAATCGTTAATGTCGCAAACTCTCATCATACTTATTTTCGTACAACTTTGTTCCGTGAAAGGGTGAATTTTGTTTTTGAGATGTCACAACTTGAGTTAAAGAGAACAAGAAAGCAATATGGTGGCTCGCACACAAGCTCAGTAATGTTTGTTACTCTTAAAGAAAACTTAAAAAGTTTATGATAAAAGTACCCTGGGGTCTCTTTGTTAGCCTCTACGGCAATTGTGTTTTTCAATTAAATCTTTATCTAAATTCTAAAACCTGAACGTCTGATTTGCAAAATCGGTAGGTGTTATACATGTATTTTTAAAAGTTAATTCACATTCAATTTAATAACTTATGTCTAACTTAAATTTTCCTTTTAACATCTTTTTTAAATTATTTTAACCATGAATTTGCTTGCGTACATGCGCGCATGCGCTTTGGCATGAAATGTTTGTTTTAATATTCCACCGTTTCTTATTTTAGCAGAAGTAACCACAAGTACACCAAGTGTAGTTACCACAACTACGCCTGTACAAGTTACAACTACCACATACAACAACAATGTCTGCGAAAGCACTAAATTCAGTGCAGAAGAGACTATATTAGTACTACAGTCCTACCAGTCCAATCCGACCGTCTTAAGAAAAATGCTTAGATATGTAAAGCGACGATCCGCTAAACTGTCAGAAGCGGTAAAATCACTTTACAAGACACCATCGAAATCATATCTCATAGACAGAATAGAAATGGCTTTCACTGCAATAATATGCTGTGATTTGAAGACAATACAAAGCAGAGCAATCAGGTGAATACTTTCTAAAAATAGATATTTTAGTTTTGCAATATTTTACTTGCTTTCCTGGACATGTGTTAAAAGCACTTTATAAATTGGGAATGTGGCATTTGATGATAGTTTTTTATTGTTGAAAACTGCCACTGGGTACCTAAATTGATATAAACTGCAACCTATATTACATCGTGATTCGAAGACCACCCTAAGCACATATTCGAGTATACATTATTATAAACGAAATATTGGTTTGATTTTTAAAGCATTATCGGTTTGAACTTATTTATTTATTTAATATATTTATTTATTTTAAGGAAACTAATCAAGCGTATTCGGAAGATGCCTTTGGAAAAGAGCAAGAAAACTGGAAAGCTGTACGTTCCAAAATGTGTATCGTGACAATAAGATAATTTTACTTTCTAAACTGAAAACATAAAGTCCTTGTAGAATAAATATCAGGACAGTTGTAAAATAAATGGATTGCTACAATCTAAAATATGTATCGGGACATCAAGATAAACATTTTCAAAATGAAAGTATAACGTTCTTAAATGTGTATCGGGACAAAAGGATAGTTTTGATGTTCTAAAATGAAAGGATAAATACGTTCTAAAATGTATATCGAGACAATGTGATATAATTATATTCTAAGTTCCAAAATGAAAGAATTAATGAATTCCTAGATGTGTATCGGAACAAAAGGATATATTTCAAGTTCTAAAACTAACGGATAGATACGTTTTAATAAAAAAAGGTGTAATTGTACAAAGGAATTAAACAATTAATTTCAAGGTATTAAACAAAAAGAATGAATCATTCTTTGATAGATGTCCTTGCAATAGGATATTATTTTATGCTCTAAAATAAAAGGATAAATACGTTTTAAAATGTTTGTCGGGACAACAGGATGCATTTCATATTATACGTTTATTTCAAATGTTTCAAAGCGCACGGAGAGTACAAACAGGTTTTGCAATCGACATGGTTAAAAGTTTGAAAAGTGCAATCCTTGAACAGCCTTTAATTAAAGTTAAATTATCTATCAAAATAGTTTCTTGTTATTTGTAACAATTGTACAAAATTGTAACACAAGGTTCCATGCTTACCTGCATATGAACACATCTGCGGATGTTTCAAAATTCCAAACTTTGTCAGTTCATGTTAAATGTTGAATTCTGCTTAACGCAGTGCTAAGGGGCGGCGACACTATCTTGCACTTTCCAGTACCATCGATGAACAGGCTCAATCAAACAGAGCATGCGATATTTTCAAGTTTGTTGGTCTTTCTTTAGGAATCCTGTTTTTCTCTGATTTATTAATTTTCCAAAAATATAAACACATTTTCATAATGTATGTTGTCGCAAATAAAATGACATGAGTGCATAAAATCCATTTTGCTCTTAAAATGATTACAGCTATAGTGTCATAAAAAAGTTGAAGATGTTGCCATCTCAGAGCAAATTCTTTGAACAATATATATATCCTTTCATCCGGTTAGTGTTGTTTATTTGTTTTATCAGTATCAAAGAAATATAGTTTATAAGCCTATGATTTGGCCATTCTCGGAAAATACTGCAGTTGGGTTTCACAAGTTTTCATTTCAGTCTTTTCCCCAACTGTACAAAGAAGAATTTGAAAATTGTAGAATCAAGTCATCTCTGTCTGAACTAAAATTGTACCTTAAATAACGTATGGCTGCGAAGTATGAAGTGTTTATGATTATAGAGAATCAGATAAATTACACATTCAGTTTTGTAAAAACAATATAGATGTGAAGCACATGATGTTTGTGGTGTTTTGGTCCATTCCCGTTGTCGGTAATTTGTAAAGAAATGGCTATTAACTTTAAGTTAAAAATATGGCAAATAAATATTTACCAACCGAGAGTTAAATTACTTGTCTGCCAGTGTTGCAGCAAGATAAATCAAAACACGCGAACGACCATCGCACTTTTTCAATGCTGAGGAAATTGCTTTGAAATTTGAAATAGCAATGTAAAACCAAATCATTTACTCTTGATGACGGATATCTTAAATGAATTAAAAGATCAACAGATTTAAAGGTCTGTTTTAATGCTTCGAACAATAGCCTGCCATAGTGGCAGTCCTATTCAGTACGTAATGAACACATTCATTCCAAAATACAGTGAACTGACAATAATGAGAGCGACATCACAAAACTCAGAACCTGCCTTAATTATCAAAGCGGACCGAACACCATATTTGTACTGCCATATTTGTACGCTCGCACTAAAAGAACTTTTAATTTACCAAAACAATCTAACAATATTATATGACAAATATCAAAACTCTCGGTTGTCAGCTACTACCACTTATAAAAATTATTATGTCTACAGTAGCTAGCTCTTCCTATTTCTTCATCGTATTTGATAATTATTAAGTTACACTTTTAATGTCAGCTGCTTTTTAAAGAACAACAGAAAATTGAATGTATCGGCAGCATTCATTTTTAATACGAGTATTGAAAACTTTTAATAAGTAAGGAAGTTTTTTTTGTATTTTTTAATACATTCAGTTTTGATTTTTTTCGTTATTATTACCATTCTAAATTATAATTCTGTTCTGTTCTATAATAGTTTAGATTTTGAAATTTATTAGTTATACTAATAAAATTGAAATTGACAACAACAAAACTGAGCATAATATCACACAGACCTTTGGATAGTTTGCTAGGATATACGTACCTTGGTTCTTCGTTATAATTTCTTGTCGCGATGAAGATGGATGATATTTTTTTATCTGCCACTATATCAAACAGTATGGAGTGATTTTTGTAGCCTTTTTATTAATCAAAACCATAAACCTTTCGCTCTACCCTTTTTATCTAGATTTATTAACTAACCACCCAAGAGCTAATACGTGACATAGTCAATACTTCATTATATATATAATTGGGGGTAAAGATTGTTTTCATAAAAGTACGTTTTTGTCTTGAACCTGCCATATACAAATATTAAACTGTTGAGTGTTTTGAAGCAAGATGGTGATGACACCGTTGTATTGTTTTGTATTGCTTGAAGTTCTTGTGGACGGGTCAGTTAAAAAAGGCGTGGTACACTGGGCCGACGATTACTTGTGCGATGATTTTAAAGTATTGAATAACATGACATGGTGGTGAGTGTTTTACAATTTTTCATTTTCTTCATCTTCACTTTCCTTGATTTGTTCCCTTTTTGAACGTTCTTTCTTTTTATTTGTCTCTCACACTATCGCTGTCTGTTCTTTTATTTGCGGTTCTTTTCCTCGTTTCTTCTGGTTTTTTTCGTATTCTTGACTTTTCTTTTTCGTTTTTTATTTCTTATTTATCTTACTGCTCTTTTTTTCTATTCTCATTTGTTTAACTTCGGCATACTAATTGTATCATTTGGCTCTGACATTGAATTTAGGAGAGGTGAAAAAAATTAATGATGTTATAAATAACTAAATCAAATAACGAGATAAATGTAATGAGTAAATTAATAAAAAATATATGTATACATTTATGCTTGCTTATAATTAGCTTGAAAAATAATTTATTTTCTATTTTTATTAACGAGAAATTTGAACTTTCATCGGAGATAAAAAAAAATCAGTACACTATTGAATTCCGAACTAGTTAGAAAATTATCATAATTATTAAAAAAAATAGCATTTATTTCAACCATTCATATTTATTAAAAATAATATTTCTTTCATTCGTTCTAGTTTGTCAATATTTAATTTTGTCTAGTTTTAGGCTCGAATTTTATAGTCACTGTGCTTCGTTGTCGGCATCTGCATTACACTTTTGGTTATGTTTTTTGTACCAACAACACTTTTTCTACACCGAGGAAATTTGATTTGAAACTTTATTTAAAAGCAGTGTATGACCAACATCTCCACACGTATTTTATTTTCAATGAACTCAAAGATCATGATTATGAAGGCTACATCTGAAGCGTGATCGGGTGTGTAGTATATATTTAAATGTGTCTATGAGCAAAGGAGATCTAGTGTTGTTTAGAATTAACTTACTAGATGTAACGTCATCATCAAATGCATTTCAATCATAAATTACAGAAAATAGAAATGAGTCACATTTGGGTTGTTTTTAGATAAGAATACTTTACTTTTAGTATACTCTAATTAAACCTTTCCCAGGATCCAAGGCCCATAGAACAATATTTAACATGTGAAAAGTAGAATGAGTTAT